GGTCAGCATTTTTTTGGATAAGACTACAAGGGCGCAGACAACTAAAGCAAAAATAGACAAATTGGACATCAAACTAAAAAGGTTCTGCACAGCAAAGGACAAAATAAACAAAGTGAAGAGACAACCTACAGAATGGGAGAAAATGTTTGCACACTACACATCAGACAAGGGGGTAATATCCAGAATATACAAGGAACTCAAATCAACAGCAAACCCCCCCCCCCACACACACACAAAAAAAACTCAATTAAAATTGGGCAAAGGACCCGAACTGACATTTCTCAAAACAAAACATACAAATGGCCAACCAACAGGCATACAAGAAAATGCTCAACATCATTAATCATCAAGGAAATGCAAATTAAAACAACAATGAAATAACACCTTACCCCAGTTAGAATGGCTATTTCAAAAAGACAGACAATAACAAATGCTGGTGAAGATGTGGAGAAAAAGGAACTCTCCTACATTGTTGGTGGGAGTGTAAATTGATGCAGCCATTGTGGAAAACAGTATGGAGTTTCCTCAGAGAACTAAAAATAGATCTCTGCTAGGATCCAGCTATCCCACTACTGGGTATATAAACAAAGGAAATGAAATCAATATATTGAAAAGACACCTGTACTCCCATGTTCATTATAGTACAATTCTCAATAGTCAAGAAATGGAATCAACCTAAATATCCACGAATGAATGAATGGATAAAAAACAACAACTGTGGAGTACATTCACAATGGAATATTGTTCAGCTATAAAAAGAAATGATATCCTATCATTTGCAGCAACATGGATGGAACCGGAAACCATGATGTTAAGTGAAGTAAGCCAGGCACAGAAAGACAAATACTGCATGTGCATGATCTCACTCATATGTGGAACCTAAAAAATAAAAAAGTGGTTCTTACGGAAGTAAGAGTAGAACAATAACGGGGGTGGGGGGCACAGGCGGCAGGCGGGGAGAAGGGAGAAGTGGTGGACTAATGGGTACAACACTCTGCTGTCTACCTTAAGTGAATCATTATGCAGTATATGCATGTATTGAAACAACACACTGTACCCTACAAATATGTACAAGTAAATGTTAAAATAAAAAATTAAAAATATAAAATGCTTTGGAGGTCTTGGAAGCCATGTGGAAAAAGAAGATCAATATATCAAGAATAAGTTAGAAAAAATGTCACCATCCCCACTGTTCTGTTGAACTCTTTGGTTAAGTAGAGAAATAGAGGGAATAGACAGAAGTCACCCTGAAAACTATGGGTACATTTGTCTTAAATTTTGGCAGCCTGAAAGGGCTACTTAAGGAGATTTTTTTTTCCATTTTGCCTTTTAGATTCATGGTGTCTGTGATGATCTGGGCCTGTGGAAGTGAGCTGTTTCTAAGAATTTCCTTGAAGCTTGCCAAATGCCACCAGTCTTCAAGGCAGTCCAGCCCTTCTTCCCAGGAAGTCTCCTCTCAGAACCAGCCCTCACTCCTCTCTCCCTTCTCTGAGCATCCACATCCCCTCATCACTGCCCAGCTTAGCACTAACGTGTTGTCTTTCTCATGTGGCTTCTTCTTTTCCAGGTTTAGTCTCTCCAGGGTTATAACTCAAGAATAGGAACCATGTCACAGTTCTCTATCCCCTATAATTAATTATTAATTAATTAGGTGGATAGATAGAGCTCTGGAAACATAAAAGACAGTTAAACCAAAAATAATGGTTTCTATTCTATTCTGGAAAACAGTAACTCTCCCACATGATGTTAGCCTATGGATGTTCCAAGTCACAAAAGCCATACACATGCACAGATACCTACTTTCTCTCGGTCACTTTACCACATTCACTGGTTCTGATGCCCTCTAGTTCTGTCCCTGGTGACTTAGGAAGACTGGAGGGAGGTAAAAACAACCCAGAAACTTGGCCAGCTGGTGTAGACAGACAGCCTGGAGGCTCTCTTGAGGGTGGGGGTCTAGGATGGGCAAGAGTGTGACCAGGGCTAAGCTAATTGCCTCTCTATACCAATAGCTTGTTTTAGATGTTATCTTTTCAGACTATCTTTTCACTTTCTTGGTAGTGTCCCTTGATGCAGTAGGTCCAATGTCTTACTTTTTTCAGATTTCCACAAGGCTAAGCACCCAAATATCCTGCTCTGTCTCTACCAACCCTGAGATTCTTTGGCTCTTACAGGAGTTCTAGTATATTCTAATGGATTGATCAATTGATTGATAGGTGGCAGGCTGATTTCTTCGGCCTGGCTATAAGATCTCAGTATTTAACTGACTGTAAAGGGCTTTGTAACACTTGATTCACCTACCAAATGGTTTTCCACAGCAGCTGCACCATTTTATATTCTGACCAGCAATTTATGAGTGTTCTAATTTTTTGACATACTCACCAACACTTATTTTCTGTTTTTTTTTTTTAAAGAAAATTATTATAACCATCCTGTAGTGGTATCCCATTGTGGTTTTGATTTGAATTCCCCTAATGAGTAATGATGTTGAGTATTTTTTCTTTTGCGTGTTGACCATTTAAAAATGTTTTTTGGAAACCGTATATTTAAGTCCTTTGCCCATTTTTTAATTGTTTGTCTTTTTGTTGTTGAGTTGTACAAGTTCTTTAAATATTCTGGATACTAGAACCTTATCAGATATGTGGTTTGTAAATATTTTCTCCCATTCTATGAGCTGCCTTTTCACTTTCTTGTTAGTGTCCCTTGATATATAAAAGTTCTTAATTTTGATGAAGTATAATTTTTTTCCCATTTTTTGTGTGTGCTTTGGTGTCATATTTAAGAAATTATTGCCTAATAAAAGGTCAAAAGATGTATGCCTATGTTTTCTTTCAAGAGTTTTATAGTTTGAACTCTTTCATTTAGGTCTTTGATGCATTTTGAGTTAATTTTGATATATGGTATGAGATAGGCATCCAGCTTCATTCTTTTGTATGTGGATATCCACTAGTTCTAGCACCATTTACTGAAAAGACTATTCTTTCTCCATTGAATGGTCTTAGCACTTTGGTCAAGAATCAGTTGAACATAGACACATGGGTTTATTTCTAGGCTCCCAGTTCTATTTCATTCATCTATATGTCTGTTCTTATGTCTGTACCTTATTGTCTTGATCACTGTTGTTTTGTGGTAAGTTTTGAAATTGGGAAGTGTAAATACTCTGACTTTTTGTTCTTTCTCAAGACTGTTTTGGCTATTCTGGGTCCCTTGCAATCCCATATGGATTTTAGAATCAGCTTATCAATTTCTACAAAGAAGTCAACTGGGACAGAACATTATTTTTGCTTATATAAATTTGGAAAAGGAACAAACACTCTGGGAGAGCAGCTCTTCTATAGTGGAAAGAAATTCCAGAGATATGCAGGATAGCACTTATTAGTATCTCTGCATAATAGAATCATTGATAATTGAGTCTCAATAAAAATTCATATTGGAGTCCAAAATAAAGATGGCCATATTGTGGTGATGAGTTTGAGGGACACTAAGGAAACATTAATTTCTCACATTTACATTTGTACAATAATTTAAAGGGAAAAGACTGTGTGTTCACAGTCTTTTCCCATAGTTTTATCACAATTATCCATGGTTTTACTAAGATGGGAATTTATTATTACTTGTAGTTTTCAATAAGGTAATTTAGTCACAGAGAGGATAGGAAGTGACTTGCTCAAAAAAATAAACCAATTGAAATTGAGGGCTTAACAACTACAACTCCTTGAAGTTGATACAACAAGCAAACAGAAAGGATACTGTTGGGTGGGAAGGGGGAGAGGGAGGAGGGAGGGGGGTTTCAGTAATGGGCCACAATAATCAACCTCATTGTATATCGACAAAATAAAATTTAAAAAAAAAATGAAATTGAGGGGCTTTCTGGGATGGAAGACATTCAGTGCTAAAAAGGGCCCTGGAAAACTAGGCTAAGTTGGTCACTCTACCAGTAAGTGGCAGGGGCAGGATAAGAAGTCAGGCTATTTAACTCTTAGGTTAACACTTTTCCTACCAGATGACCTAACCAAGCACGTTTGACCTTCTCTACTTTTGACATTCTGTTTCAAGTTCCTGTCTTGAAGGAAATGCACCTTTTCTTGACTAATCTTGCCTGGGACTTCAGCTACTCTAATCCCTCCAGCAATCCCTTGACTCTGGTGTTCCAGACATAACAGGTTTGTATCTGTGGATTTTTTTCTAGCCTAAATTTTATTTCAGTTCTTTAATCTCTTGGCCACACCACATAATTTGTTGCCATCAGAAAGCATAAACACATGCTTCACCTGATTAAAAAACAGGAAGCAACTCTTTGGTGAGGAGCATGTCCTGTGAATCCGAATCAACAATCTGTCTCTGACCCTTGTAAACAACTAGTTCATAATGACTGCTGGAAAATATGAGGCCACACAAGCTGAAACATATTGTTCTAGTTTCTAGATCAGCATGTTTATAGAATGTAGTGAAAAAAATCACCAATACAGTCAGAATACATTGTGCCTATATTGTGCTCCCATGATCTGTTAATTTTTTTTTCACTAGAAAAGAATGATCTAGGTAGATTTTTTTTTCTTTACCGAACAAGGTGATTTTTATTTAAAAATTAGGAATCACCTTGATGCTACCAAGTTGCATTTTAAAGTCTATGTTCCTGTGATTTCTTGTGCCCTAAAACAATATTGATGTTCTTACATAAGAAAAACAGACATATTACTGTTCACACTTTTCTTTAATGTTTGAGGGTCAGGCCTTGCTATCCTTACTGTGAATATTAGTCCCGAATTGGAAAAAACTGACTTTTATAAACAGGAATTGATGGACAGTGATCACTGAACCTTTCACAGGTTGAAGCAAGACTCACATAAGGAATTGTGTGGCAGGAGCGGACCACGTCGCTGAGGCCCATCCACTGCTGGTAGTCGTAGTCCCGAATTGGAAAAAACTGACTTTTATAAACAGGAATTGATGGACAGTGATCACTGAAGCTTTCACAGTAGTTAGGTTGAAGCAAGACTCACATAAGGAATTGTGTGGCAGGAGCGGACCACGTCGCTGAGGCCCATCCACTGCTGGTAGTCGGGGTACTCGCCACGCCGCAGGAAGTACTGGTGGCCCTGGTAGTTGGGGCGCTCGTAGAGCATCCAGCAGCCACTGTCCACCCGGATGGAGTTGCAACGGCTGAAGTAGGGCTGCAGGTTGGGGCAGTCGCTGCTGCACTCATAGCAGCGGCCCTTGAATCCCCGGTCCTCGTAGAAGGTGATCTGCGGTGGAAAATAAGGTGACAGCAGACAGTCAGCTGGAAGGTACATCCCCACACACAGCAGACACTCGGTAGACATGATATGGCACTTGATTGGCTCACCTTCCCCATGGTTGTTGACAGCGATGGTCAGCGTCCAGAGTGATGGGGACAAGTGTGGCAGCTGGTATATATAGCAGGACGGCTGCTGTGTTGGCAAGAACAACACAAAAGGGACCTGGGGTAGTGCGTAAAGGGATTTCTGTGTTCTCTTTTTTTTTTCCATTTGAGATCATGGGGCAGGGGGCTCTCATTCTCTCTGGCATTTTCGAGTTGTCCTCACTAGCTCCAGTGAAAGGCATTGAAGTCAGCAGAGCCATTATGACCTTGGAGACAAAGGGCGCACTTCTCATCCTATGCAGCTCGCTGGAAATACATTACATGCCCAGCATTTTGCAATGTTTGCCTATGGAAACTGCTGAGATGGAGGTTGGTGGTTCCATCGGAGGTAACTCATGAGAATTATATGAGTTCCAGAAAAACTCGAAGTGCAAAGGGGCAACAAAATATCCCAAATAAAAAATTTTCCAATTGAAAGATAATTACATTTCTTAAATTACTTCATCAGTGTGATATGGATTTGATAAAAAAGATTTTGCATATGTTTATGTAGGGAAAAAAAGATTAGAACTGTGTATATACATCAACATGTCAATCATGGTTATCAATGAATGGCAAGATTATAGGTCCTAATTTTATGTTTTAATTTTTTTGTTTTTCTGCTTTCTATTCCCTTAGTTTCCTGTTATAAATATATGTTACATTAATGAGATGAAAAATAATAAAATCAATTTTTAAATGTATGACTTTGAGTTGCTGGTAAAAGTGGTAAATTTTGGAAATAGGTATATTTTGTCTTGAGATTAAACACATCTTTAGCTGAAAATAAAGAGATTTCTCGAGAGTCTGTGAGACATTCAAAGAGCAGGAAAATACACAGGATCCTTCCATTCCCCTGCCCCTGCCACCTATCTTTTAGGGCTGCTTTTTGTTTTTAAAACTAGCACAATTTGCCTGTGTTTTCTCTCCCCAAAGTGTCACTGTTTCATTGAACCCCAGTGACTGCCTGAAGAGCATTAACCATCGCTGCCAACCTATTGATTTAGAAGTACTCCTCAGATATGCAGGGGTAGAGGAAAATTCCAAACCCCAGATCATCTTTCGTCATCTCATATGTACGTAGAAAAATGAAATTGAATACTTTTGTGCTTCAGACCCATGGAGGGACTCTAAAAGTGTCTCCAACCACAGCCAGAAGTATGTTCACAATGCCATTTGTGAAAATCCTCAGGCAGCACATAAAGCAAATATAGAGATGGTGAAAGGAGAGACAGTAATAGCCACAAAGAAAAAAAATTTCCCCAAAACTAGCAGAGCTAGACAAAAGAAAACTGGGCAAAGTTTTATGATGCTGGACATCTGGCAGTGTATGCAGGGACCTCAGGTCACTGATACCCTCCTTTGTCTAATGCTGAAGGTCTACTGGTAAATCTGTCATAACCGTAATTAAACTCAGTGTGAAAAGTCTGCATTGGTATCCCCAGCCACAAGCCCACATGGGAACACACCACTATTTTCAGCAGAAGTCAACAAACCCAATGCGTGTTTTTGCACATGCCAATGAAAACTGTTCTGCAGAAAGATGATTCACCAAAACCTTAAGAAAGGTATAATCTGTACCGACATTCATTTTATCAAATTGCTATTACATACATTGACAGGCTAAGCCACGCACCTAACCAGCATTTTTGGAAAGGTACCAAAAACCTATAACATTTTCTTTTCCTAGTAGTCCCTATATTCTGCTGAGAGCAAGCCTGCACGCATTTTTCTTTTAATGCTTTATTGAAATGATTTGAATTTTTTCCCATATGTGAACATAGTAAAGGCAATCAATGACATATCAATTTTATTTTGGATTAAAACTTTGGAAAACTGACTCCTACTCCACCACCGTGCAATATTCAATGCTACACATTTGTAAAATATGCTACAAAGCCAGCTAGCTCTGACACAGAAACACTATATACTCTCTGAATTTTCCAAAAGTATTCCAGTCACAATGAAGTGACATAAGATGCACACGTTTTTTTCTTATCAAAATGTAGCTGTGCAATGTGCTTCTAAGAGAAGAAAACTCAACATCAAAAATAACATTTCAATGGAGTTGGCATCAAAAGCTAACTGTAAAGAAAAATGTGCTGGCAAGAGCTGCAGTTTTAAGATGATATTTCTTGTCTGCTCCCAGAAACTTATGAAGTTCCATGGTTCAATTCCAAGTTTCTAAGTGACCTGCAGAATAAAAAGATGATTTGGGTATCAAGACATCAATTTAACATAGACACAGACATTAGCTTTCAGTCTATAGGAAGTTAAGGTCACATGTCAGATACTAACTTGCTAAAATGGATTAGATGAATGTAGGTACAAAAAAATTTCCATGGAACTATTCTGATAGATTTGGAAATCCAGTTATATTTCTCAGCTAAATGCAATATGTGATCCCACACTGGATCCTGTACACAAGGAAAAAATGCTTTAAAAGGACATTATTGGGTCAGTTGACAAAATTGGTATGTAGATGGGAGATTGAAGTACCAATGTTATATTCCGAAGTTGGTAACTGTACTGTGGTTATTTAAGAGAATGACTTTGTTCTTAGGAAATACATACTGAAGTACAGAGAGGTAAAGTGGTAAGGTGTATATAACTGCTAATGGCTCAGAAAAAAAGTGTGTACATACAGAGAGAGAGACAGAGAGACAATGATAAAGCTAATGGAACAAAACGTTAACAATTGGTGAATCTGGGTAAAAGGAATATGCAGGTTCTTTGTACTTTCCTTGCAACGTTTTCTCTAAGCTTGAAATTATTTCCAAATTAAAAAAATAATAACAAACTTATACTTCTTTTGACCAACTCTACCCAAACCAAATCAGTTTTGGGCCCCTTAGCATGAATGTATTATGCTTGTAGCATATCATTTTGACTTTCTGATATATTGCTTTGAATTTAAACATAAATTTTCCCCTCTCTGTCTTGTTTCCTTCCATGATATTGTGAATTCTTCAGGAGCAGTAATAAAGGGAGTAATTATATTAGTGCTTGCTATGGTCCTGGCACTTTTCTAAGCCTTTACACATATATTAACTCATTTAGTCCTTCTAACAACTCTATGAGATAGGTATTCTTATGATTTTCTTTTTATAGATTAGAAACTGAAGCATAGAGAGAATAAGTAACTCACCCAAGTTATTAAGTGGCCAGCCAGGACTCAGGAAGTCCGGTGTCTGCAGTCTGGTGTCTGCTAGCTCTTTGGTATGTTCCTGTCCATTCCAAATTCATTTCCTAGTAATGTGACCAGTATTGACATTTTCCTAGGAAATGATGCTGTTCCCACCTATTTTGACTAATAAATCATCTACTAATGCCAGTACAATAAAAAAGAAATCTTTAAAACTATTTCCCAGAAAACCTAGTTTGTTTGTTTTTATAATTTTTCCTTACTTTATGAAGAAATTCAGTGGCTGAAAATAAACAGAAAATTCTGAATAAAGTATTGTTTTTAATCTTGAGATTAAAAAGTTGTTCTTCAAAAAAAAAAAAAAAAAAAAAAAAGACATAATATCTACAAATCCTAAAGAAAAAAACTAAGCCCAAATATATAAAATGAAAAAATTCTTTAAACATCAAACTGTGGAAGCATATTTTTCATCCATTTAGTAAAATATTTATTTCTTTAATTAAAAGTTCTAACAAGCCAATGAAACTATATATGTATATTTATACATTTATCTGTAGCAAATATTTTACTATCACTGTGGAATATACTATAAAGCATATGTACTTCACAGGGCCTGGTTTTCCAAAGCCTTGCAGTTTCAAATATTGACCTGGCAGAGGACTGGAAATTTTCCTCAGGCTATAAAGTCTCTGGTGTAAGATAAAGATTTGTGGCACAGCAAGGTTGCTGGCTCAAGGACAGACTAGTTAGTGATTGTTATGTAAAGATACTGAGAAATTACTGTAAGATCACTTAATTGTCTAATGGAATGTCATCTGGTTTGTTTCACTGAAAGTTACCAGCCTATATTGTTAAACTATAACCCCACCTATGTTCTCTTCCTGTAACCTCCTGGTCTGGAAAATAAATGCAGGAAGAGAACCCCAATTTGGGGTTAATTTTCCAAGGAAGGGATGCCTCTTGCTTGAGGGTTCCAGCAGGAGATTAACCATTTCAGGGTCTCTCACTGCTCAGAAGAGATGGGCTTTGAGTAATCCTTTGCGTCTCCACCACCCAGGGGAAGTGGGGTGATAAATCATGGGGGGGTGAAGCAACAAAGCAACATATCATAAGAAATATTAACAGTAGTTATTTTTAAGGTGTGGGAAAGGAGTGTGGTGAAGAGGTAGTCTTTTACTTTTCACTTTACATTTTCTGTATGGTTGAAATTTTTACTATTATTTGCTATTATTATAAAATTACTATTACTATGTATTACTATTATAACTTTTAAAACCAGTTTAAAAACTATATTACCCAGGAGTTGGAAAAAATGCATAAAATACACAAATAATAAAGCATGGAAAAAAACCAAACACACAAGTGGATTTTCTGTTGTTTGATTATCAAGAAGGGCCCTTGATGGAAGGGATCCATTTCAGAGGACCTGGCCCTTCTCCTGACACTCCTGGGCTTAAAAGCATCAATCAGCTTATAGAAATGAGTCTCTTGATCCGTACAGACAAGACACAGTGGTTTTATAGTGGTCACCTAAGGACCATACAACTATTGTCAATTCACTAATGGCAATAATTACTGAATTTTCACTGAAAATTTATATACATTTGAGAAATAATCAGGAAATAAAAGATCTGCTTCCACCGAGAAGCCAACAATCCTCAGTGGCTTAAAAGAAACATATATGGAGTGAAGTTATATTTTAAAAATAATATACCAGTGAGTAATCTTTAGAGCCAGGTTTTCATTACATGGGGTCCATAGATGAGTCTCAGGGGGTCTAAACCCCTGTTTCAGAGATCTATTTTTTCATGATTAAGTTTTGAAGTCCAGATTGTCAGTATGTTTGTGTGCACAGGTGTTTATGTGTGTTATATCTGGAGTTTACTGTTTTTGATTGATTGTTGTTTTCCTTTCTAAAGCTTGCTGTCTCCAAATTCATATAAAAAATGACCTCATCTTGTTTCAAAAAGTTCTCTGAAATAAAGATATGGTTCTAAAAAATCTATAAAAATCTATAAAATCTGTCAAATCTCATTTTAACAAATACCTTTAAAAGAAAACCCAATATGGTGATGATTTCCCGCTAGTGCAATCGTTCTGTTAATAGTATAATGCTTAAGGGCTGGCTGCTTAGCTTGGTTGGTTAGGGCTCAGCATTGTAACACTAAGGTTAAAGGTTCATATCCCCATACTGGCCAGCCACCAAAAAAACAAAACAAAACAAAACAAAACCCCTAATATGACCAAAGAATCCAGGCAGTTGATCTGATAAAGTTATATTTCTAACCAGTCAATGGTTTGTCTCTGAAACTTGAACAAATTTAAAGCCCCATGTAGCCCAATCTATTCAGAGATTCATATTTTAAAAATGCACAGTGCAGCAACCAAACTAAATGAAAAGGATTTCAATTTTCACTTGTGTTTCTTGATGCAAACCCAATTCATAACTCAGTATATTAATCTTCAAAATTCTCTTCTCCCTTTCCTACCTTACAATCCTCCAGCTCATCCAGAATCTCTCATTCAACAAAGCCCTCAAATATCTCAGACACCCAGCTGTAGCGCTTTTCTGATTCTCTCCCCTCTCAGCTTTTATTATGTTGACCAACTTGATCTCTCTGACTTCTCTTTAAAATTTCTTTTCACTTTGCACATTACAGCCCCAGGCAGAAAGAAACCTCCTCCCTTTCTCCTTTCTCTCCAGTCCTGTCTATCTATGACCATTCTCTGAATTCTGTAACATAAAAATCAGGAATCAGATGGACAAGGCAGAAGCAAGGGAGATGCCAATCAGGAAAAGATAAAATTCTCATTAGTGAGAGAGGGACCAAAAATAGAAACATTTGGGATACAGATATTAATATAAACCTTCTCCTCAGCATACTTATTTGAATCAATAGAAGAACAGCCAATTAACTTGTGACTAGTACTTTTCAAATGTCAAAAAGATAATAACAAGTAATATTTACTTAGGGGTTTATTCTGTGCCAAGATCTGTACTAACCTCTTCACATGCATCATCTCAATTAATCATCCCAGCAACCTTAAGAGGTAGGTACCATTATTATTCCCATTTTGCAGAGGAGGAAATTAAGGCACAGAGAGGTTAAGTAGCTCACCTGAAGTCACACAGCTGGTAGTAGTAGGCTTCACATTCAAACCCAGAGCATCTGACTCCAAAGGCTAGACTTAGCCACAAAATAAGTAAAGTACTCCCAAAACATCTGCTATCAGTTAGGTCCAATTTATATTTTTGACCTACTTTGCTCTTCGGCTGTGTGTCTGAAAATCTTTTTGATAATTTCCATTCTGTGGCATTTGCTTCCTTTGTCGAGCGCTGGTGGTCTTTTTATTTGTTGCTGCTCCCTTTCTTGACTTGACACCTACAGACACATATAGTAGCCATATCTGTACATAAAACTTTAAAAAAATGTGTCCACCCACAGTATTAGATTCTTCCCTTCTGGAGTGCTTTGCTCCCATCACCAAAGGGTCTGAAAAATAAGACTTCTCTGATTTTGGTAATGGAGGAAAATCAGGTCATAAAAGCTCCTGGTTCTTTTTAAGTCAACCGGAGAGATCTAATTCCCATTACAACTTTGACCTTACCCTGTGAGCCAACCTCCTAATTTTACTTAAACTTCTCTAAGCAGATGAAAGTAAAGAGGCTTACTGTGTTTGCGGGCATATTCTGCTGCTTTGGGTGCTGTTAACATGGCAAAGGGGTGCAAGGAGAGACGGAAAGAGGGAGCTCGGTGAACCTGAAAGGAAAAGAACCCTACTTTTAAAAGCTGCACACAGTTTATGTTGTTAACATCTGCCAGTTACAGCACTTGGCCTGTTCAGTCAACCCAGAGTCCTTAATCACAGCCCATTGATGAGGCACATGAAACACCTGTGAACATGAACGCACTAATATCTTCGTTGTTTCAATAAAAAGTATCATTATGATCATTTCTCAATTCAAGTACTTACTGAATGTCAAATTATGTCCAAAGCACATGCAACAAGACTTCTTGACTGTAAGGCTGAGGAGGAGGAGAGGAAGGGGCTGTGTAGTGCATATAGGAACTGGCACAAAGAAGGCCTGGATAGGGCATATATCATTAAGGGATAAGGGGAATAGGCAGTAATTGTCACCTACCTTTCAACCTGGAGCAGTAACTTACGAAAACATCATTATGATATCACTGAGATGGAAGGTGAGGCATTTCTAATCCTAAGTGTCAAAGCAATTGAATATACGCTTAACAGAAATCAGATTTTCCAAAGTAAAAGCAGTGCATGTGGTTGGAAAGACAGTTTTGCCTTTCCAAGAAGTTTTGCAATGTGGTTGGGATGTTGCAAAGTTATATTTTCAGAACATCTTTATGTTTATGAAAAAAAGGGCAAATTTCAAATAGAAGTATTGGCAAATCTAGAATTTGACTGGTTCTATCCTATAGAAGTTTTTTCTAAAAATTGAGACTCTGTATTAAGAAAAAAGAAAAATACAAATAACCCAATAGAAAAATAGACAAAAGAGTTTAATAGGTACTTTATGGGAGAAGCATATGAATGGTTGTCTATTGGTATCAGGGGAACGCAAATTAAAATCACAGTGAAATACTATAATACACTTAACAGACTGACAAAACTTAAAAAGCCTGAAAATATCAATGTAGATTACCTACATTGCTGGTAGAATTATAATTGGTACAACCATTTTGGAAAACAATTTGGCTTTGTGTACCCTACGGCTTAGCAATTTCACTTCTAGGCATACACCATACAGAAACTCTTTCACTATGTAACCAGAAACATATAAAAAAACCCTGAATCTCTAAAACAGAATATATAAATACATTGTGATTTGTTCCTAGAGCGGAATACTATATGCAGTGAAAATAAATGTGCCATAACATGGATAAATTTCTGAAACATAATGTTGAGTGAAAAAAGAAAACCATAGAATGCCACATTTGTGATTATTCTATTTGTACAACATTTTTTAAAGTGAGAGATTAAGCACTATATTGATTAAAGGTGCATGTACGGTAAAACTATAAAGAAGTAATAGAGAAGGATAAACACATAATTCAAGATAGTGGTAACCTGGGGTGAGAGGAAAAGTAGAAGACTAGGGAAGTACACAGAAAGCTTCAAAACTGTTGATACTGTTCCATTTCATACACTTGGTGGAATTGTTTGCTTAGTCTTTCTGTTTTAAACATATATGGTAAGTATTCATTTGGACATAATTAATATTAAAGGTGCATTTTTAATATCTCATTATTAAGATCTGTCAATATTGAATTTTTGATTAAAACGTATGTTCCTCCCCATATCATGAAAACATTTTGTCATTTCTGCACAATTCCGTCTGAGTCAGCATCCTCCGAGAGAACAAGACACAGGGCAGGTTATTGGAAGAAGCGTGAGAGGGCAGGGGCCCTTACAGAGGTCATGTTGCTGTCAGGAGGAAGGAAGCTGGCCGTCCTGAGTGGGAATGGGCATGGCAATGACAGCACAAATCTGGAAGGCTGCCCTTCTGTCACCACTATGTGCTTGACATGTGTGTTCTCATGGAGTCCTCAGAAAAACCTAGTGTGATTGGGTAAGTGTAACCAGGCCTGTTTAGGCAGGCCTATTTACATATAAGGAAGCTGTGAATCAGAGAAGTTAAATAACTTATCCAAGGCCACACAGGTAGCAAGTGACAGAGCTGGGACTGGACACCATCTGTTTGCCTCTGAAAAGCATGATGTTGGTTAGGACGGGCTTGAGTGATGGCCGTCAGATGCTGGGTGATGGCTTCAGGAAGAAAGAAGGAGGCAGAAGTTCTGGTGTTCTCTCTTCACCTTGTCTCTTTCCTCTCTCTATTGCACTCGTTTTTTTGTTCTTTCTGCCTCCCTTTTCTCCCCCCTCTTTCTCCATCAAATGGAGCTGAAGAATATTTTTATTGCTTGCTTTATTTGTTGGAGGAACATTTATGCTTCATTTTTTTCTGCTTAAAATTGAGTAGCACATTTTATATTCATCTGAAGCTAGTTGTAAATAACCCTCATTTGTGTAAGACCCTTAGCTGAATTTTTTTTCTGGGGGTCCCGAGTCCTCAGCAGGAAAAAGCTCCCTATCAGCAAAAACAGCTGATGACTGACATAAGTTGGAGTAGAGGAAATGAATATTAGTGGGAAAATCATTTTTATAGGAAACCAAAAAACCTAAATTTAGATGCTAGCTATAAGATTTGCCAAATTGTGTTATCTCATACACTGTCAGTTCCCCCATTTGAATAATGAAAATGTAGTACATCGTAATATTTGAAATAAAAATCTTCCTTCCCTGTGAATGACCTTACAACCTTATCCTTATGATATTTATCCATGTGACTTTTCTCTAGCCAATGAAATGTTAAGGAGAAGTGGCCTGTGGTATTTTGCATAGAAACTTCAAGAATTATTCTGTACTTCCATCAGGCTCTCTTTTTGCTCTGCTGTGGGGCTGGCAGCTGAAGGTGCCCCTTCAGCTCTGGGAACAAGTATAAACACAATTTGGAGAGGGATCATAGCCACACCACGATTGACCGGGAGCATGAGTGAGACGCTAATCTCGGTTTTTGAAATTTTCTGAGCCATGGGAGATATTTGTTATTGCAGCAGAGTTTAGCCTAAGCTGACTGCCATGGTGATATTAATGCCACCTTTGTAAAGTTCTTTATAGCATATCTTTATTCTTTGCTAAAATGTTCTATTTACTGGGCACTAATGAGATAGTAATAAACAAGGCAGGCATGTTTCTTGTTTCTTTGGACGTCACAGTATATACAAGGAGAAGAAAGAAAACAAACAAACAAACAAAAATAAACAGCTCCCTATCTCTAGGTAGAACCCAAGGTTAATAGAGTTGGGAATCAATACTGAAGCCTTTCTATCACTAGGTGGCAGCAAATAGCCTTGGAGAAAGCCATCAAGCCTAACTAAGCCCAGTACCCATGTTGTATTGTGTAGCCAACTCCGGTTGCCGGAAATTCTATATAATCTGATTAGTATTCAATAAGGATTTGAGTTTTTGCTTGGGAAGCAATTTAACTGTTGCTTAGGAGACATTTTATCTGAAGGAGTCAAAGGCCATTCAGACATATGCAGCAATTAAAGGAGAACCTTCAGCAATACTTTTTTAAAACAACTACATCTCCTAGTTAAAACCATTTTTGAAAGTATGTTAAATCCTAAAGGACTGTTTTAAAATAGTCTTACAGTTTAATCTTTGAAGTGCTACATTTCCATTGAAAGGTCCTGCTAATTCCTCATTCAAAACGTGGAGAAGGTCCCTGAGTGGAGCTTTATGTGTAGCCACAAGAGAAAGGCCTGAGCTGGCATTCTGGAGGCGGGAGGAGCTTGTATGGCTCACAGGGATAGATCCTTAGATTCTTGTATCGGGAGCTGCAATCATACCCTTTGTGATAACTGGTTGTCCAACACAGGCAAAGTCTACATTGTGTTACTAATATACATGGATGTTTGATTAGCTATTTAATTTTTTAATATTGAGAGTGGTGGTTCTCAACCAGATGTGATTTTGCCTTCTAGGGACATTTGGCAAAATCTGGAGACATTTTTAACTGTCAGACTAGAGAGAACTATTTACATCCAATGGGTTGAGGCTGGGTCTGCAGCTAAACACACCACAATGTACAGGACAGCTGCTAGCCCCCACCCCTACGCACACAACAAAGAATTATCTGGCTCAGAATGTTGAGAAATCCTGACTTACAGAAACATGGAAGAAATCAGATACCCAACCCCTGAGTACCAGAACCATAATTATAGCTATTATTTTGAGGTTACCATGTGCCAAGCACTAAGGGCCTTACTGGTACTAACTTGCTTTATTCCCGTAACAACCCCATTTTCTTGTTCCTGCTTTCACAAATGACATTGAGACTTACAGAGGTTAGAAATTTTGCCCAGGATTATTCTGCTTGTAACTGGTGGAGTTGAGATTCAAACCCAGACCACCAGGCTTTAGAATCCCAGGGCTTAACATTATACAAACTGCCTTTCACATATAAATAAGTACATAAACCAATATTCATACCCCACAACAACAAACACATGCAAAAGAAAGCCTCCCTCTATGATAATATCTGGTTCTGTTCAGAGCTGGTCATTATGTAGTCTGTGTACACACCAGAGATTCTCATGATTGGTCAACTGATTGTGAGGATGGGGATTATGTGTCACTGAGCAGAGAAGATGCTGAATAAAGGCTCTTTAATTGATAAATGAGTGATCAGATGAATAGGAAGAGACTGGCTGACCCACCTCTAAACAGCAAGTCTTCCTGTTGTAGACGCTTTAAATGAACCTGACTCATTCGAGCTACACTGACAACCATGTTTCTTGACACCATGACTTCCTGATTGATAACCCAGCCAAGACTGGAGACGTTAACAGTGCTGTCCTCTCCAGGATGTGATTTTCTGTATTTGTCCTCTGGCCACCTGTGTTGAGACCAACCGGTTATCTCTCCCAGGCACCAGAAGATGAGGGAGAGAAAACAGTGAGTGAAAAAGGGGTTTGGGGCTCAGGTTGTTATATGTGTGTATTGGGGGGTTGGGACAGGGAAGAAGGGTCTGGAAGGGAAAAAGCTGCAGAGAAAACCAAATAGGAATGAAGCAGTATGGTTTGCTTGCTATCCCAGCAACCCAGAGAACTGGGTTTTCTCTAAAGGCCAAGAGCAGCTTGGCCTCTGAGGATCATCAGGCCTGGGGTGGCTTATATTTCAACCAAGGTAAGCTCCAATATAGGATATAAGATGTGTAAGAAAAGAAATCTTGTCTGACATGCTCACCATTGTATCCCCTGCACCTATGACTATATTGAATGAATGAATGAACAAATGAGTGGAGTGAGCTGAAACTAGAGTGATCAGAGGGAAGGTTCTGATTTCCTCAATGATCAGAGAATTTGAGTCTCAGGACTACAGTCAGGTAACATAAGGGATCTGGTGACAGGAAGGTTGGTTTCAAATTTACAACACTTGGTAAATACTTCACTCCCAAGGTGGACCTGGTAGGCTCTTGAACTTGCAGGTAGAAGAACAAGGGAGGCAGGTGTTCCTGTGGTGAGAACCCTGCCTCTGCCCTGTCTTCTCTTCCAAATCCAGCTGGGGACACTGAAAGCAACGGTGTGAGTGGAAGGCCTGGGTGTGAGGGTGTTGGTTCCCCATCCCCTGAACACCCCTCCCCCACTGCATCTTCTTTTTCCTCTTTCTTCTTCTAGAGGTATCTAAAGGTAAAGGGATCAGTCGTTCATCTCTAAACAGCAGCCCATATTTAAATGTTTACTGAATGTTCATACATTAATAAATAGCAAAAACTGAACTGGACTTAAAGATCATTCAGAATACTTAATTCTTTTTTTCTTTTTAGAATCACTATATGGAGATCAAGGAGAGAAAGGGACCCATCTAGGGCACTGGAGCAGTAGAGACAGAACTCAAACCCAGGTCTCTGAACTCCCAGATCATTGCTGCTTCTACTGTTAGTGATTTCAAAGTGGCCTCATGGAAAAGAGAAATATGCAGCAATAAACTAGATCATGAGAGTGAGCCTTGTAGATCTTGTCCTAGTTCTAGATGACCTAGTACCTCCTACCAGAGAAGAGTGTGGACTTACCAGATCTACGTTACAAAAAGCACGAGAAACAGTATTAATGAGAAACAGAGCAGAAGCTAGACTCCAAGCCTGGTGCTGTTTCCTGCTACTCTTCAGCCTTACACAAAACACATTTATTACCATGTAGTCCTCTACGTAAGAAAGGGATTTTACAAACATATGTTACCCAAGTAAGATATGGCAGATCTGGTTTTGTGCATTTTGGTATAAAACTGTTATTTCATAATTTGTTTTTTGGCAGCTGGCTGGTAGGGGGACCTGAACTCTTGACCTTGGTGTTATAACACTGTGCTCTAACCAACTGAGCTAACTGGCCAGCCCAGTTACTTCACAACTGATGCCTGAAAATACGACATTACAAATTTATAAACTAAATAAATTATCTCTCAAAATTCCTTATATTGACAGTCCCAGTTCACCCTTACCTTGGTAGTACCAGAATTGGCGGAAGAATCAGCCCCATAAATTTTAAAGACTTCCTCAATTGGGATACTGTTCTGTTAAACAACAACAACAAATGTAATATCATACCATGGCTTTTCTTTTATTACAAAACAAAGCTATTATAGCTTAAGTATGTCTAGTACTATGCTTGGGTAGCATGGGCACTAATTAACTTCTGAATAAATGGATAAATCAGTTCTCCAGATACCAATTAGTTATGTCTCTCATTTTTTATTTTTTGCCTCTTAAGTAAATGTTTTCACAATACAGTATAGAAGACTTCTGAATAAATGGATAAATCAGTTCTCCAGATACCAATTAGTTATGTCTCTCATTTTTTTTTTTTTGCCTCTTAAGTAAATGTTTTCACAATACAGTATAGAAATAAAAATCTTTCTATTATGCCTTAAAAAATAAAATATTTACTATTAGTAACTCCTAAACATTTAGAAACATTGGTTAAAAAGTAACAGATATGCATTAATATCAAAATACATATAGTAGATATGAAATATCCATATATGCAAATAGCATGCTTTTCCTTACCATTAAGATTCCGGCATAAGATGATAAAATCATTGCTTCTCGTTCTCTACGATTTGGGTAGATGGGTCTGCCACAAAAAGGCATTTTCCTAAGGGGGAATATGAATAAATAATGGTGGAGGGTTTACTCTTGTTCTTTTTGACACCTGCTAAGTAATCTGCAATGGCTGTATGCCATCCACTTATTTATAAAATTGATGTGATTGACCTTTCATCAGTGAAATATATACTTCGAATTTTTAATCTTTCAATAATGGTGAATTTGCCCTCATCCACAGCTATCAAACATTGGCAGACTGGCCACTGTGGAGGAAGTTTATGGTTTACCAGCCAGGATCCTTTCCCCTTCTCTAGGCAGTAGGGGACCTGCCTTACTCCACTTAAGCCGACAACGCCCCCTGGATTCCCAAGGATGGAAAACACACCATGGACTAAGCTAGTCAGTATATTCCATCACTCATGTCAGGGCAAACAGAGCCATTGAGACACAATTCTGTGATTTTGTTTTTTAACCCATCCTCCCCTGGACTACATGTTGTAATGAAGTGGGCTGAAACTAAGAATGGTGTTCACCTGGAGGAAATAGAGTCAAGGGGTACATCCTGTTGACATCATTTAAGTTCTGAATTAAACCATGCCTAACACAGACCTACCCATGGACTTATCAGAAAGAGGCAATAAAAAATACCCCCTCCCCCCCTTCTTTTTGCTTAAGGCTGTTCAAATTAGATTTTCTGCTTGTTGCAAATAAAACTTAACTGCTATATCCATCTAGGACCAGTTGTGTAGTAGTTCAAGGCCATGGAATAGAAAAAATAATTGGCCTCTGAAATAAGCTATTTGATCCTGGCCTCATTATCCATGTTCTTACCAATTGAATGAGTCTGACTGGACAGTATTCCTGAGAGAAAATGCAAATAATCCTGAAGAGGAAATTATTCTATGATGCAAACAGCTCAGCTCTGGTACATATCTGCTTAAATGCTTAAGAAATTATGTTTGATAATCCTTAGGAAAAGATTGCGGTCCTTACCCACAGAATTGATCTTTTTTTTTTTTTTGTCTTTTGTCTTTTTCCGTGTCCGGCAACGGATCGCAACCCTCAGTGTTGCCCCCGTACCGGATCGGGGACCGGCAACGGGACCGCAACCCTCGGTGTTGCTCCCGCGCCTCGCCCAGCCAGTGAGCGGGAACCGGTCTGTGTGTGGGATCCAAACCCTCGGGCGGGAGCGCCGCCGCGCTTCCCAAGCGGCGCACTATCCAGTGCGCCACCGGGCCGGCCCAGAATTGATCTTTTTAAGAATCATGGCATATATACAATATATACAGTCATGTTTCTAAGGCAGAACATTCTGTGCGAGACAGTTTTTCATGTGATAGAAGCCAATTAGCAGAGGTGCAAAATATGTAAACATATATACAACTTCCTCAAGCTGGCAAGAGGTGTCTAGTTGGAGAGGGATATTCACTCTGTAGTGCTTTCAAATCAGAGTGCCTCAGGATGGAAGATGCTGGATAGGGCTGGAACTTCCTCTATCGTTAATCACAGTCACACAATAATAAGAAAAACAATAAATCTACTTCAACTTACACTTCCTCCCACTCCAGCCAAGTTAAGTCTTCTGAGTGGTCCAGCCATTGCAAAGCAACGCTGATGGCCAAGTCATAGTGTGCCTGGAAGCAGAAAGCACAGAGAGCAAAGAATCGGGCTCAGACACTGGCCAAAGCACTCCCTGGACCCAATGACAACGGCACTGCTAAGCCTGTTCTATCATTTTGTCATGTCCAGAATGGGAAGGATCATTAGCTACATCTAATAACCTGATGCTCAGCCAGAAATAGTTAGAGATCTTCAGTCATTGCATTTATCTCCTACTAGAGCAGTTATTTGATTTGTGTGGTCCGGAAAAAAAAGGAGACATCAGTGGAAAGAATACTAAACTGTGAATCAGGGAATCTGGGCTCAAATCTCGGTATTGCCAACAGCTCACGGCATATCCTTGGATGAGTGATTGATGCTCTCTGGGCCTCAGTTTCCTTAAATTTTAAAATAGGAAAAGGTGAGGGTGGGGGTGGGGGCACAGAGAACGATTTCTGATTCTGCGGGTTGAATGTCAGAAGGGTGCTTCCAGGAGCCCAGGGGAAGTGTTGTGGGCACTTGGACGGAGGTGCCGTTCTGTCCACCCAGGGAGGTAGAGACTCCTGGTAGAGGCTTCAGAGAGGAGACTTCGTTGGAGCTGGGCTTGAAGGATCAGGAGAGTCTCTACAGATGGAGAGGGCCATCCCAGGTGGAGGGACCAGCGTAAGCAAGGGACAGGAGGGAGACCTGATTAAGTGATTTGCTGAGAGTCTCACAAACAGTAAAAAGCTGAGGACCAGTTCCCATGTTCATTCCTGTCAAAGTGACCGCCTTTTCCTGGTAATTTCTAGGAGTTCTTGTTTAGTAAGCATCATTACCATTTATCTATCAAAATATTCCTTCTGTCCTCTCCATCCCCACATCCAGAAAAGCGAAGGTTGGTTTTGTTTTAGTTTTAGACAGGTTCTAGGGTTCTAACATTCTCTAAGCAATATAATTATTTATTCCAGGGAGTAAACCAAACTGAAAAGTGAACCTAAATTTAAAATAATAATAAACAAATAAATAAATAAATAAATAAATAAATAAATAAATAAATAGGAAGAATTGGACCAGGTTCAAGTGTTGAAACCTAATCCAAAATTTGATGACTGGACCAGCAGCACTGGAAACACCTGTTTGCTCACTAGAAATGCAGATTACGGGCCAGCCCGGTGGCACACTCGGTAGAGTGCGGCGCTTGGGAGCGTGGTGGCGCTCCCACCAAGGGTTCGGATCCCATATAGAGACCGGTCCACTCACTGGTTGAGCACGGTGCGGGTGCGACACCGAGGGTTGCGATCCCATTGCCAGTCGCGGTACAGGCGCGACACCGAGGGTTGTGATCCCGTTACCGGTCACGAAAAAAGAAAAAAAGGAAAAAAAAAAAAAAGAAATGCAGATTACCAGCCCCTCCCCAGACCTACTGAACCAAAACAGTTGGCTGGCTGCTACAGGGACTGAACTTAACTTTCTAATAAAAATTTCTTTGCAGAGCTGGCCCCGTGGCACACTCGGGAGAGTGCGGCACTGGGAGTGCCGCTCACCACGGGTTCGGATCCTATATAGGGATGGCCGGTGTGCTCACTGGCTGAGCGCAGTGCGGGCGACACCAAGCCAAGGGTTGCGATCCCCTTACCAGTCACAAAAAGGACAAAAAAAAAAAAATTCTTTGCAGCTGGCCAGTACAGGGTTGGAACCCTGGACCTTGGTGTTATCAGCACTGTGTTCTAACCAACTGAGCGAACCAGCCCCAAAATAGCATTGTAATAAGACCTCATTCAAGTTCAAGAAGCACTGTTCTAATCTTTTTCATTTCTCTGATGAATATGTGTATAGAAAGGATAAAAGTTAATCACTTATTTAGCTCCAGAGAAGGTCTGAAAGTCAGTGAGCCTTGCATTGCTTTAGTCAGAGAGGGAAAGGAGAGGAGAGGGAAATGGAGAGTGCCTTTCTCTCTTTTTATTGCAAGGATAGCAATGGGCAGCCTGAAAGAAAATGAATTTCTTTTTCTTTTCTTTTTTTTTTTTTGCGGCTGGCTGGTATGGTAATCCAAACCCGTGACCTTGGTGTTATAAGGCTGCATTCTAACCAACTAAGCTAACTGGCCAACTGCACTAATTTCTTTTGAATTAGATCTTTCTACAGTTTCTTAATTTTTATGGAGTGAACTTTCAGAACCTAATATGAGTCTGGGTTTCAATATGAATAACCCAAAGGATTTTAGGATTACTCATTTCTTTGGTCTTCCCCCACTAATGCAAATGGTAAAGAAATTGTTATATGCGACAATTACATGAGAGCTAATTTTGTCAAAAAAATTTTAATAACATGTAAGTAACATTTTACCTTGTATTCATTTTGTTTTTTAATCTTTTCTCTCCTCATAGCAAATAACTCTCATGACATATTTTCTCACTGTCTTTTAGCTTTCTGTCTAGGGTGATGAAATGACCATATGGACAATTTTAGGATGAGGAGAAGACGAGGAAGGAGACATTTTTAGCGGGAGTGGGTGTCAATATTGCTTATGATTATAAATTGGATCCTTGTTCTGTCCCCTAACACACATAACACATATGGGTCTTGCAGCAGCATGCCTTTCTTTACCATATCATCTAGAAAGGTGAGTTGCCTTCTTCCTTTTGGGTCAAATTCATTTTCCCGAAGTCTGATGCCAATATAATCTCCCCTTAAAAGGAAGAGAGCAGTGTTGAACCATGGCGGGGTGACATGTGGCTCAGTCTGCAGAAAGAAGCTTTCTCCCCAGCCCCTCCCTCCTTGACCAAAATACAAGAGAAGTCACTGATGCTCTGGTAGCTGAGATAATATTCAATTTTGATTTACACAGTAATTCTGTAATGCTGCAGGTTAAAAATGTCTAACCATAATTAACTTAAATCACATTTATCTAAAAATTAAACTCACATTGTTGGAATAGAATTTATAGGAAAGCAAGGAACATACTAAATATTCACACACAGAAAAAGTTTTACAAGACCACAGGGTTGAGACCCACTGTTTAAAATAAAGATTCCCTTGCTGCCCATGTTGAATTCAGGCAGAATGTCCAAAGCTGATATATTCCAGATATATAAAATTCTGTAGACATATATTCTCTTGACTTGAGGCTGTTTCATATTAGAATGCAAATACCGTTAGGAAGAGTTATGCATAAAAACATGTTGGTAGTTCCACTTTACTGTATCCTTATCAGATCCTTTCCTAACAGTGGCTTTTAATAAGAGGATGTAGCATAGAAAGGGTGCTACCCTGGAAAAGTCCACGAAAGGAACTGGATGCAGGAAAAGGACCTTGGGGTCTGTGAGGATAATCTTAGCAAATTTCACAATTTTACATCAGGCCAGTTCTGTTTGTCTATTTGGCACACTAGAACACTTTGCACTAGTTACTGCACGGAGGATAAATTTGTTTCTAGCTTTTAAAAGCTTTTCTTCTGAGTCATTAAGCTTTTCTAAATCTATAAAAATTCTTGAATTTTTTGCTGTGAAATTCCAAGTCACTTTGAAGTAGCCTAAATGAATTCTTTGGATATAAAATTGTATTTATATTAATTTTGAAATTCTAATTCTTTGGATGAGATATGTAGAGGAGTTGGTATTCCTGATTACAGTCTGTTCTTTATTATTGTACTGTGTTATTGGCCTCCAAACACATACATGTAAACATATGTGAATTCATATATAGTTTGTTCCAGCATTTCTTAAGGACTTATTCAAAGATAATTATCTTAGGAGGCAGAAAAAGGGATTGTTATAAGATCTTTGATGAAAAGGGTATTATTATAATACCTATAATACATATGAAATACAGCACAACCATTTTCTCTTTTTTTATGGTCTTGATTTTTCCCCAATATTTGTTATGTACCAGCTCAAAGAAAGACTACCACAGGAGGAAAATATTTTCTTTTGAGAAACTTGATGTTTTCTATGTTAGTTTTAAAAAATGTTCAGATGTCAAGAAAAAGGAGATAAATTATTTAGTTGGTAAGGCGGACAATAAAAGAGGAAGAGGCTGCAATTGAAATGCTGGGCCCTTGGGTCCATTTTTCAGAAATGTCTCCTATCTCTTCACCAGCAGGGCCAGCCCCTTTCAATGGCGCATCTTGCCCACAGATGCTGACTGGGCTGTGAGCTCAGCTCCGAAGATCTAGAGCAGGAATGCCTTGAATGTCACCCTGCCAGCAGAAACATCCTCCCAAGAGCCCCAGCATCCCGCTTTGCACCACATATAATGCATCCCTGGTAGGAGAGAGTGGCCAGATAATCTTCTGGCTTTCTCCTACAGTGCAGGAATAGATTTTTTACCCCCTGCCAATATCCAGACCATTTATGACATGAAACCCACCAAATGCGGGGTGTCATAAATGAAACTTATTCTCAATCGTACTTACAGGAGCTTTTTCATTTCCTTCTTTATAAGCCTTCTTTCCATGATTAAAGGCTTATCCAGCTGAGCAGGTATCTGCAGCTTACACTGCACTTGATATCCTTTGGAAAGACCCAGCTCTCTGAGGCTAGAAGCTACTGCAGCAAATCAGAGAGAATTTGAGTTAGGGATTCTATCACCCCAAATACCAGTCATGGAGTCCTAAGCTCTGGAAGGGATCTGAGAGTGCACAGAATTTAGGCCTCTTATATAGCTGGTTGCAGGTCAGAAAGCTGTCTGGAGGCTAGTGCACTGTACCTTGCGTTTATCTGACATCTTTTATTCCTCCCAAGTTTTTCCAACCCTTATCATTTACTTATTTTTGCAATACTCTAGCATGTAAAGCAGAAATGGCTCATGTAATAGTTTATGAAACTCTCTGGGCAGAACCATCAAAACATGGGTGGCTTGTGATATGAATATGTGTGAATTTTTCTCTGTGCATTAACCATTTAAACATAGTGACTCCCAGTGAGTCCCTGGTGCTAAGGCTCATAATGAAGTTTACTGTAGAACCTGGGGCAGGAGTGAGGATAGGGCTGACAGGAGAGACTCCATGTTGTCCTTTGCACCAAGAGCCCAGTGGTAGTCTACATGCTGGAAATGCAGCAGAGACCCCAGGGACAACAGACCATGTCCTGTTCCAGGAAACACTAGGGAGAACAAGGGTTAAAGATAAGCCCTAAAGACACCGGTATGTCCCACAAACATGTCACTCCCCAAGATTCCTTAACCCCCTTGTGTAAGCATTTTTTGATAGGACTCAAGAGAGCAATGAGGCTCCGGCAGAGGAGGATAACCATCAGCTCCTACCTGCCGATGCTGACAACAGAACACCTTGGACCTTGGACTAGCTGAGGAAGACTCCATTTGTGAGAATGGAGACCTTGCACTCTTTCCCAAGCCCTGATCCAGCTCTTTTGGTTTGAAAACCCCCTCATGCTGAACACTAGGAGAGCAGCATTTCCCTTTCATACTGACTCCCTCATGCACGAGCTCTCTCTCAATAAACCTCACTTGCTCAGCTGTACACTGGGTTCAATGTTCATTTCTATGACTCCAAGTCCCAAGGACCTGGCATATCTGTTCTGGTAACACACTCATCTGTAATCTACTGCTAGGAGATCCTTGAAAGAATGTGTGGTCACAGCAAATGTGTCTTTAGTTCCCACCCCCACATTGAGCCAGAAGTTGGAGATCAGGTGGCAGGGTTAAAAGGGGTATGATCATGACCCCCTGACATCTGCAACTATCCCACTGATGACCATTGAGCAGCCACAGGAAGCATCCCGGGGTCCTAAGCCAGGTCAGTGGGGGGCCAAGGGCCTCAGCCACACCCCCCACCACCATCTGACATCTGCAACCAGCCCAGTGATGACCACCCAGCTCCTGCAGGAAGCACCCTAGGCTCCCCTGCTGGAATGAAGGGGGTGCCACAGCCCTTGATCAAGCCCCCCTCTTTCATACTCCTCCCACCCTATTTCCTTTCCCCTTTCTCTCTCCCCCTCCTACCAACTGCTCCACAACATCTTAAAATATAAAAAAATAATAATATTAATAAATACATTCTTTTATAAAAGGGGTCTGAAGTCACAAGAAAAGAGTTTATAAAAAAGTGTCACTGTTGACTAGGATACCCAGGGAGAGATATAAAGAGGGATATCAACTCTATCTGCAATGTTTTATTTCTTTAAAAATATTTGAAGCAAACCATGATGGTTAATTTTATGTGCGTCTGGGGCACTATGCCCAGATATTTGGTCAAACATCATGATGGATGTATTTGTGAAGGTGTTTTTGGATGAGAATTAACATTTAAATCAGTGGACTTTGAGTAAAACAGATTACCCTCCATAATAAGAGTGGGCCTCATCCAATCAGTTGATGGCCTTGATAGAACAAAGACTGACCTCCCCCAAGCAAGAAGGAATTCTGCCAGCAGGCAGCCTTTTTTTTTTTCCTTTTTTGTCTTTTTTACTGACTGGTAACGGGATCGCAACCCTCGGTGTTGCGCCCGCACCACGCTCAGCCAGTGAGTGGGAACCAGTCTCCACATGGGATCCGAACCCTCGGCGGGAGCGCCGCCGCCGCGCTCCCAAGCGGTGCACTCTCCAGTGCGCCACTGGGCCGGCCCAGCAGGCAGCCTTTGAATTCAAACCGCAACTCTTCCCTGAGTCTCCCACCTGCTGGCCTCCACCATCAGATTTTAGACTGGCCAAGCCTCCACAATCATGTGAGCCAATTCCTTAAAATAAATCTCTCTTTGTCTCTATCTCTTATCTGTCTGTCTGTCTCTCTCTCGATATATGTGTATATGAGTATATGTCTGTATGTAAATTGAGCCGAGCAGGTATCTGCAGTTTATGCTGCACCTGATATATGTGTATATATATGTGTATGTGTACAAATATATATGTATATGTATATACACACACATCCTGCTGGTTTTATTTCTCTGGAGAAATCTAACTAATACACAAAAATAACAAAAATATTAACAGTTGTTGACTCTGGGATGATAAGCCATGGATGTTTATTATATTATCCTTTGTACTTTTAAAATTGTGCATGTGTTTTTCAATCATTACTCTAAAGATGGTTGGAAAAAAACTTTTAGAAACTTAAAAAAAAAAAAATTACAGCATGTAAACACCGAGCTTCATTTGACTCGGCTCTCTAACAATAAGAAAAGAGCAAATGGGATGCCACTGATTTAAATGAATTCTTCACCAGGCCTGCTTAATTATTTTGAATCCTTTTTGGTGATGATACATCTGCCTCAGCCTTTTGGGTGTGGATAGGAAGTGCGTAAGGAAATGGAAAGGGGGAAAAAAGTAGGAGCATTCCATAGGAAATGAATTAAGTGTAAAGATAGTAATATTGCTCCCTAAAAAAGAGCCAAGTAGGAGAGAGGATGTTGCAAGCTGGAGAGGTGGCCTCATGGCCTAGAGAAGGAAAAGCACTGGACTCAGGAAAGCCAGGTGCTGGGATGTTGTGTCCCCTCTAACACTCAATGGTGTACCATAGCCAAGCCTTTTGGCGTCCCAATCTCAGGTGTTATCTTTCAAATCATGGGCCTGGTTAACATCTCCAAGAGCAGTTCTCACCCTAACATTCTATAACTCCATAAAGGCTGGCATGCATTAAAATTTTTCTAATTCAGTAATTTGGAAAAATACTTTTTGATAGAATATTTGTCTTACTTCAATTTTCTGACAGCGAGTGGGCTCACTTACATTGGAAGCCTAAAAAGCGAAAGACTTAGCATTGGCCTTAACCCATTCTTGTCTTGTAATTCTGAGCAAGCCTTTTGAATTTCAGACTTGCATGTTATAAAATTTGCATCTCCTGGTTGTTGTGCCAGCTTCTTCTTAGACCCGCCCTCGTCTTCTCCCCCTCCTGTTCAATGTGGAATAATATGCAAAGGTTTAAATCTTAAAAATATGACCATCTCCCACCCCCAAACCACTAGGCTGAAGTCAGGAGACCCTGTAAGGCCACTCACTAGCTCTGTCACCTTGGACGAGTGAATTTGCCTCTGTGTTTTTGCAATTTTTCTCTGTAAAACAAGCATTTAACGATTGGAGAAGTTCCTTCCAGCTGTAGAATTCAGAGATTTATGTGTTTAGTAGCTTTCTTTTCCTGGTTGAAAGGCTATTTGCACAGACTGTATTCAGTCAGATTTGAATTCTGCCAGTGACCGCTCTTTTCTGTCTATAGAGCTTTAAAGAAAACAAATACCACTGGCTGGAAACACACACAAAGGAGGTACTGGAAAGATGTTAGCTGTCTTGGCTTTAGCTGTTTCATAGAAACCCACCCCCCAGAAGTTACAGACCCCGTATTCTGTAGGAATTTCATGCACTGAAGGTATCTGCACACTCCACACAGGTGCCCCTTACCCCTTGTAACTGTGACACAGGTCTCTCCAGCTGTGTTCTGTAGGATACTCAGCTCTTAACAAATCCCCTTTCAGAATCTCTCACCCACCCGAGCTGATTCCAGTGCTTTTGTTCTTTCTGCTTCTTTTTCTTTCTCCGCTTCTGGAGGCGTGCTTGAGCATAGACTGGGCTCTGGCAGGCACTCACAGACATCAGGAAAACGGATGCATTTTCCTGGTTGCTAGGAAACCAGGACTGAATGAAAACAATCTGTTTTTAATGCCTGCCTCCCCTCACCCCCCCACACACTCTGAAGGGGAAAAAAGTCATATACAAGGACAGGATCTTGATCCTGACCTGGAGTTCTTGTATCTTTTATGTGAGTAGGCTTAGTTTTCCCATCTAAATAATTAATCGGAAAGCCGAGAGGAGGCAAGGAGTCCACCTCCCACAGGATATTTTTGTAGCATTTGACTGCAGATTTAGGAGTCAACTGACTGAGCAAGCATTGCTGGGGAAGCCAGTGGAACTCTGGCTCCGATATACTTAGATTGTCCTAAAGCACTTCGGGTGATTCTACTTGGTGCCTATAGACGCAGAGCAGTGAAGATCCTGAACCATCACCTGGGTCCAAGCCACCACCCTTCCTCTCCTGCCAGCGGGTCACTCTGCTCACATACTTGCTTTCTTATCTTACACACTTGCTCCCTTGCTTAAGGCTCGCTGATGGTTTCCCATTTCTTTTAGAATAAGATCTAAGCTCCTAACCATAGCCTGTAAGTGTCTCCACTGGACAGAGGCAGAATTTGTTTGTTATTCTGGCCAGTCTAGGGCTGGGTGTCTATTATCAACATCTATTTTTTTTTTTTTTTTTTTTTTTAGTGGCTGGCCAGTATGGGACTCAAACCCTTGACCTTGGTGTTATAACACCACACTCTAACCAGCTGAGCCAACTGGCCAGCCCTGTTATCAACACCCCTTAACCCTCATTTCCACTGCTCTCCACATACCAAGTCTCTGGCCGGCCCGTGGCTCACTTGGGAGAGTGCGGTGCTGATAACACCAAGGCCCCGGGTTCGGATCCCATATAGGGATGGCCGGTTTTCTCACTGGCTGAGCGTGGTGCTCACATACCAAGTCTCTTGGTTATGTAGGGGATGAAAAATATTTTTTCCTCACCCGTCACTAGATCCATGACTGAGGCCACT